CGGCCTTGAGCACATCGATGACATTAAGGACGATTTTGAGCAAGCCCTGCGCGCCTCGCAGGTATAAAATGTAGAGCGCGCTACACAAACTTAAATTTTATCCTTGAAGTAGCGAAGGCTCTATCGTAATGAAAGAGAACTGGTTTGTCACTGGCGAAATTTGAATAAACGGTTTAAAACGGGACCAGTGACAGAGACTTTAGTGTTCAGATCGGGCGATTGATCAGGAGAGGGACCAAGGAGCTAGCGGGGTCGGATGGTTCCGTCACGGTATCAAGCAAATCACAAACGACCTTTACGGTACTCAACCAAGGTTCCAGTGTCGGTGAGATCGTACATCGCCAGTCCAGGATACAGTTGCTTCACTAGATTATATGCCAGGAGCTACCCAGCATCTGTGACCACCCTTAGCATCATAGGACACCTAACCACTATGTATTAGGTATTCTCTGGCGCCACCACTACATCATCCCAGTCAGCTCGCTCTATTCTCAGCTCCAACAGATGCGGAAGGTGAGCCTCTTGCTCATACCGGCCACAGAATAATGAATACAAGCAGCTAATAACGAATCCCGCCAACGCCAACTTCTGGACCGCGTCCATGTTCACCTTGGACAGTAGATCGTCAATTGGACACCCCTTGTATTCAATACAAAGAGATCTCTGATATTGAAATGGGGTCCATGCCATGTCGTTTACCAGAACATCTTAGGATAGAAATCCACGTAGACCAGGTAGCCTTTGTGCAAATGCCTCATGCGGGTCGTAATCGAGTCTGGGGATGTGCGACTGCAGATAGTATGTCTGCACATCGTCAATGTATAGATGCCTGCATATGATGTGGTCAATAGCACTGGGGAGCTTCATAATTTCAGCCGACAGGTCACTGTACAGTCCGCTGAATATGCTTGTGTTGATGGTGTGTAGTCGCGGAAGACAAAGCTCAAAAAGGCCAGACACCTCAAGCACAGCCTGAACATCATCCGACCTGTGGGTGTTTGGCGTTTCAATGGCTACCCTGCTATTATACTTGTTTGGCTCACAAATAAGACTGATGTTTGTGGAGAAACTGACAATTCAGTCGCCAAAAGAGACCTCACCGGAGTTTCTAGATGTAGAACTGAAAGTAGATTCTTCACATGGCTCCTTGTGGAGCTCAATGACTGGTTCAGTGTGAAAGTACTTGATGGAGTTCTCTCCATAGGATGCACACACAGGCCATTGGCTGGAACATGCACAATTTCTTGTCTCCAATCCGATACTCATCTCGAGGCAGCAGTCGTAATAGAATATACCGATACCCTCTTCAGAGCTGGTCTGCTTTGGAATAGCTTATACATATTGCTGTAGAAAGAAGTACATGCTGGGGCCGCTATGAGAAGTGGGACTAGATGCGCGATACCTGTCTCTCACCAGGCAGTGATCACGCTATGCAAGAATTGACAGCGTCTACATACCAATCGTCGTCTGTGCATACATCTAATTAAATCCAATCATGCCACCACTCGTCTGGATATTGCCCACATCATAGATACTCCACATTGTAAGAGTGTTAAGCAGCCAGCAGCCAGTAGCTAGCACCATATATAAAAGCCCACGAGGTTTAGAAAGCAGTGGTACTTCACAAGAGGGAGGGACGAGGATCACTGCCATATTTGCTGGGTTGATCCCCAATTCTCACGACTCAGGTGTTTGGGGGGTATTAGGCCAAATGCATTTGCATGTGCTGAATACTCAATGGCCGTTACATCTGCTCTCAGTACAGGGGCCCTTGATGGAAAAATGCCCGAATACTGGAGTTGCCATGGAAGGGGTATAAGTAGGGATCCCTCAGCGCGCATTGGCTTATCTGCTCATAGCAAGCTGCTTTTCTTTCCACACTACTTCTACGCTACTTCCACACTGCTTCTATATTTTTCTATGCTTTTCTCAATCAAGACCCTCATTGCCTCCGTCTTTGCTTTCGCTGCTGCTGCCCATGCTTGCCAGGGCAACGAAATTCAGTGCAAGCCAGGCAATGATAGGGTGCTCCTGCACTGCAACCATGGCTCGTGGGAGACTCTTCCGTGCGGCACTAACCAGCACTGCATGACAATGATGCCTGGGATGGTCCATTGCATGTAACTCTCGAAACAAGCTTTACACGAGAATCAATAAATTTGTTCGTCCTATTATATACCAAGCTCAAGATATATCTTAGGAGAGGCTGCAAATACAGAACAAGCGACAAAATCAGAACCAGCTGCACAAGTGCTGCTTCTTTCCCAACCCCACAGCCCAATTCCTGGCAAGTGCTCGTTCTGTAATCGTTCACCCTACATCACAAATATACTACACGCCCTCATATATCCAATGCACAAAAGTCTTGACCTTGCGGGTTGTCTGCAGATAGTCCCGGAATTGCATCTCTAGTTCATTGCGCAACCAGGCATCCATCATCTGCTGAGTGTACATTTCTCTTTCCATCTCGTCAGGTGGGCGAAAACTTCCCCACAGCTCGTAGCATGCGCAGCCGAGTTCGAGAAACTGAGCAATCTCTCGCTGCTCAACCAACCTCAGCCTGCGCTCCAGATCCTCGCGCATGTTTAGAGAGTCTTCAGTCCAGCTGTGCAGCTCTTCTTCAATCATATTGCGCAGCCAGTTACATCGATTAATAATCTTTGGTTGCCCGCAGTTGCAGGTTGACCTTGGCAAGCAAACCACCCGAGTCATCGGCATACCAGCCAGGCGCTGTGATGGGGCCGGTTCCGAGATAGATAGATTCTCAAAGTTGAGCGTATCCTCAAAATCCATGGGTACAATATCTACTACCCTAATATGCGGTAAAGCGCTGCGAAAAGCTACTGGAGCAAGACTGAGTTTGAACTCGGGAAATATATTGAAGTGCTATACACTGTCTTTGCATGGCCCAACTGCCAGGGCGATTCTAAATGAACTCAGGTAAAAAGCCTTAGATTTTGGGACTTTACCGCCCCTTCACATGATGCACACAGGCATACAGCAAACGCTACATTGGTGTTCAGCAACTATAAAGTGCTAGTGAGGTAATTAAAAGAAACACAATGCAAGAGCTAGATGGATCGCCTGCAATAGGCTGCTACTGCTTCACTCACTATACTCAGTGAACAGCCATGGCATTATTACATATGCAGGCCAGATAGTTCTCATAGCATGCCTGAATTGGTCATCAATCTCCCTACCCAGCCACTCAGTAACTCGCTGAATTGCTTTTTCCGTTTGTCATCATGGTAACTATCTGCTACTTTATCGCAAAGTTTCACGCAGAGCATACCGATACCGAAAACGATCCGCTCTCGCTCTTACGAATAGTCGTAAGATCTGCCCTCGCCTTCATCCGCAGCTGATAGGTGATCGCTGAGGGAAGAGAGTATAGCGTTCCAGCTCGCTTTCCAGACCTTTGCGGAGCTCTGCAAGGTTGACTGCCCTGACTATATTTTTGTTCAGCAAGTGAAGCGTCCTGTCCGCTTCGTTTGGCAGCCAGCGCGGCTTGGTGATATGACTGCCTGTGGGCATGGTTGTGCTTTGTGGCATATATAGAAAGACAGTGAGAATGAAATGCAAAAACGAAAACTGTATAGAAAAAGAGCAAAGAAAAAAGTGCCCTAGGTATCATACTTTGCCGCTATATCGATGGCAACTGACTTGGCTCATTATTCTATTCACGTTCATGTGATTTTGTGTCTATTAATGGAAGCGCAACGCTGCGCCTGCTAGGCTTCACTGTTCCACAATATTAGACTAGTGTCATTACATGGTGCCGTTTTCCAGAAAAAGTGGTTGAATATGAATGGCGCCTATGTAAAAGAGACAAATTAGGTTAGACTGCAAGCGACTCCATTGGGTTTGCGGTATTCTTAATTGATGACGCAAATGCATGCGACAGGAAATCAAGCTCGAGGAAGGCGCGGCTGCGGATATGCAAATGCATGGCAATCCACTCTGTCCGCCAGAAGTGCAGGACTGGGTAATGTAATCAGCAGCAGCACTGAGCAGTGGTAATCCATCACCAGATGATGAGCAAAAATCCCTCATGCAATGAGCTGACCACATGGCGATTTGGGCCACATGTCCAGTTCGATATATGATGGCAGTGGTCTGGGCAGGATAATCGTAAGCACTGGGGCATTAATGACCGGATATTAACTACAAACCTACAGCAGACCTATCTGCGATTCTGGCCAGTATGGCAGCCGGCGCAACTGAGTAGTGTCCCTGGTCTGCAGACATACTTGATTCTGGCTTAAATAGCCTACTGTGGGTGGGATAGGCAAAAGCACTCATTGACTCCTTTCTCAGATCGTCAAGACAAGCATGCATCTTTTGAACGGAATTATCGTTGTGCTCTTTTCCTGCGTTGCAACCACATTTTGCCAGTCCTGCAGGGGCAATCAAGCACAGTGCGTTCCAGGAAACAAGTCGATCATCCGTCACTGCATCAGCGGCAAATGGACAACTGTTGCGTGTGGTGCCAACCAGCGCTGCATGACCATGGCTTCGGGGACAACTCATTGCATGTAGCAAAGAGCACGACACCCAGTGCACCCCAAACAGCCTTCATGCCGCTGCTTACATGCCAGCTAGGTCTAAATTTAGATATTACCTAGGTGCCTTCAAAAATTAGATTTAGCTTCTGCCCTACGCCTGTCCGGCAAACTGATGCTCTCCCGCACGCATTGTATCGTGTCATGCCCACGTTTCCTCATTGGGATTAACGCTAGTATGCATGCAACCCCGAGACACATCATTGCATCATCTCCCCCTTGGCACATCGCCTATTTCCAGGCCTATGCGGATCGCCGGCCCATCTTCGGCCAGCGCAGAGCCTGAGCGAAGGGATTGCGCACGGGTGTCGGCTAGGCCTGAGCACTGTGGGGGTGGACACTCAGACCACAGCCCATTGGGGAGGACTCAACTGATTGTTTCACCGGATATTTCGCCATTTTTGTTTGGCGGGTGTGTCGACAATTAATGCCCAACCAGAACCGCTGGCGCTGTCCCCGATCGCTGCACTGATAGCTAGCGGAATTTCGCCTGTGGGCTGCTTTGGAAAGCAATGCGTCCCCTCCCCAAAGGTTTAGGCTTCTAAAGCGGAGAGAGTTGACTCATATGAAACCAGACGCGCATGCGCTGACCACCCCCCCCACTGGGCAATTGGCCAGTTAACCCCGGGGATGGTCACAGCTCGCATCGTCGTGCGGATCTGTGCGCCGGGGTTTAGTTGGGCCTCTAGCCTTTGGGGAGCGGCGGCACCGAATAGCACGTCGCCAATGGGGCACGTTTACAGACTAATATGTGCTGACGATAGTAAAATTAGCTGGCGCTGCGGAGCGTTGACCAGTCTCCCCAACAATCGATATAGGTCACTGGAAGATGAATCTTGAGTGGGCGGTGGTATGTGCGGGAATCGTCGGAATGAATCATTTGAAATGCAGAGTATCTCCCCATTGCTGACAGCGAGCAGGTGGGGAGGGGCATTTTCCGTGGCCTGCTGAATGACGCTAGCATGTCCACAAAGCACGCAGCTTCCATGGCGCACTGGCCTGCTCGCTCACCATTCCCAATCAGCTGGCTAACTGTATGTGCATACGCGTATATTGGTGAAAGGCAGTGGAATTGGTGTGGTGTATTTACAAGTCGCATAGAAAAGATATGTACATATGGCGGGATTTAGTGCAGCAGAGAGCTGATCGGCGGCAGCACAGTGCCCGGGTGGCCGTACATGGCTGGGCTGTTGCAGGCGTCGAGGCTGAGCTGGCACCGCTGTCCAAGGGCGATCTGGGGGCGGCAGCGTAGACCGGGCTCATCTGCTTGAAAGTGTACATCTGGGC